CTTTACCTGTCCGCCGCCGAGGGGAAGGAGGGACCGGTCGTGAGGGGAGAATTTATCCTTCGCCCGTCTCCCTCCCTGTCTTTTATCTCGCTCTGGAAGTTCGCCAGAACCTCACGGCGGCGAAGGTATTAGTTTTCTCTCCTCCCCTACACGCTTACTATGCCCTCCCTTTGGCCCTCTCCTCCCTCCGGGTTCTTTCCCCTCTTCCAGATGCGTGGACACTTCCCTCCCTTCCCTCCTTTGTCTTTGTTTTTTTTCTTATTTGCTTTCCTTCTATTTTTTGGCTTCTTATTTTTTTTTTTTTTTTACTTCTTTACTCGCTCCCTTCCTTTGGTATCTTCGTTCCCTTCCCTCCGTCTCTTCTTTTTCCTCCACTTCCCTCTTTCCCTCCATCCCTCTCTCTATCCCTCCCTTCCTCTCTCTTCCTTCTCCATCCCTTCTCTCGCGTCCCCTCCCTCCCCTCTCTCCTTTCCTTCCCCCCTCCTTCCCATTCCTCTCTCCATCCCTTCTCATCTCTCCCTCTCTCTCCCTTCCTTCTCCTCCCTCCGTCTCCCCTCCCTCCCTTCTTTCTCCCTTCCCTTCCATCCCTCTTTCTTTCTCCCTTCACTCCTTTCTCCCTCCCTCCGTCTCCCTTCACTCCCCATTCTCTCTCCCTCCCTCCCTCCTCCGTCTCCCTTCACTCCCTTCCTCTACCTCCCTCCCTCACGGATCGCCAGGGTGTCTCCCTCCGCCGTCGACTTTAAAGGGAATATGGCGATCAACAATACGACGTCTGGCGCGGGCGCTGGATGCTGCATCTTGCGCCAGATCTGCCCCTCTCGCTGTTCGTCTCCCTGCTTGCTCCTCCTCCTCCTCCTCCTCCTTCTGCTGCTGCTTCACCTGCTGTGGGTTTCCCCTTCTTTACCTCTTCTTCATCTTCGTTTTATTTTTATTTTTTTTCATTCTCTTTTTCCTCCTCCTTCTCCGCCTTGTCTTCCTCTACCTTCTCCTCCTCCTCCTACTCCTACTCCTCTTCTCCTTTCATCTGCTCCACCTACTCTTCATCCTCCTTTTCCTCCTAGTCCTTCTCCTCCTCCTCTTTCTCCTATTCCCCTCCTCCTCTCTTCTTTTTTTCCTTCCCTTCCTCCTCCTCCTCCTCCTCCCCCCTTTCTCCTACCCCCCTCCTCCCCCCTTTTCTCCTACATCCCCTCCTCCTCTTCCTCCTTCCCCCTCCTCCTCCTCCTTCTCTTCTTCCTCCTCCTCCTCCCTTCCCTTCTTCCTCTTTTTTCTCCTCCTCCCCCTCCTCCTCCCCCCTCCCTCCCCTATACTGGGAGTTCCAACCCGTCGTTACGGTTATTGTTGTTGCTATTGTTATTGTTGATGATAACGATTGTTATATACTGCCTTTGAGTTTGTTTGTTTGTTTTCCTTCAAGCGCAGGAATGTCAGCTGAGATTAGTGCTTGAGTGAAGGCACGGGGACATACGAGAACCAAGCGTGGAAGAATGATTCGAGAGAGAAAATAGTGGATTATAGTGGATCGGTGCGGGTGAAGTGGACTATGTGGATGCTCATTGGTCTTAAGAAGAAGTGGTTTAGTTTAAAGGGTTTGGAGACGGAGGAAATTTCTGGTTTTTCTGCTTATCTGTGTCTCTCTCTCTCTCTCTCTCTCTCTCTCTCTTCTTCTCTCTCTCTCTCTCTTCTCTCTCTCTCTCTCTCTCTCTCTCTCTCTCTCTCTCTCTCTCTCTCTCTCTCCCTCTCTCTCTCTCTCTCTCTCTCTCTCTCTCTCTCTCTCTCTCTTCCTATCTCTCTCTCTCTCTCTCTTCCTATCTCTCTCTCTTTCCTATCTCTCTCTCTATCTCTCTCTCTTCCTATCTCCTCTCTCTTTCCTCTCTCTCTCCTCCTATCTCTCTCTCTTCCTATCTCTCTCTATCTCTCTCTCTTCTCTCTCTCTCATCTTCTATCTCTCTCTCTTCCTATCTCTCTCTCTCTCTCCTATCTCTCTCTCTCTCTCTTCTATCTCTCTCTCTCTCCTCTCTCTTCCTATCTCTCTCTCTCTCTTTCCTAGCTCTCTCTCATCCCTCTTCTATCTCTCCCTATTCCTCTTCCTCTCTCTCTCTCTCTCTCTCTCTCTCTCTCTCTCTCTCTATATATATATATATATATATATATATATATTATATATATATATATATATATATATATATGTATGTATTATGTATGTATGTATATATTTATATTTCTTCTTCTTCTTACACTCCTTTCTTCATTCATTCGGAAGATCAGAGAGAAATTCAAAAATGTGTAAGAACAATTGTGTGTTATCTTTATGTTTCTATTTATATTTCTGCAAGCATGAGGGGGAGAAAGAGAGAGAGAGAGAGTAGGGAGGAGGAGAGAGAGAGGAGAGAGAGAAAGAGAGAGAGGAGAGAGAGAGAGAGAGAGAGAGAGAAGAGAGAGAGAGAGGAGAGAGAGAAGAGAGAGAGAGAGAGAGAGAGAGAGAGAGAGAGAGAGAGAGAGAGAGAGAGACCGACAAACAGACAAACAGAGAAAGGTAGGAAGAAAAACTATCAATAAAAAAATACAGAAACATTGATAAAAAAACAGACTCCGATAAGAAACCCGAGGAGACAAACGCATAAACAAGCTTTACAGAGAGACAGGTAGACACGCACACACAAACAGATAAGAAAGACAAACAGCGATGAAAACAAAAAAGACAAACAGACAGACAACGAAAGGCAGACACCACGCCAAAGGACACATAATCTAGCGAGGAGGCAGTGATACGCTCTCCACAAGACGGTCTTTCATACAACGAATCCTCTTGAGAGCGTGGTTTAACCCCCTCCCCTTTCTCCTCCTCCCCCTCTTTCCTCTTTCCCTCTCCCCTTCCCCCTTTCCCCATCTCCCGTCTCTCCCTCTCCCCATCTTCCCTCTCTCCCTCTTCCCCTCTCCTCATCTCTCCTCCTTTTCCCCTCCCCCTCTTTCCATCTTCCCCTTTCTCCCTCTTTCCATCTTCCCCTCTCCCCCCTTTTCCCTTCTCCCCCTCTTTCTCTTTTCCCCTCCCTCCTCTTCCTCTCTCTTCTTCTTCCCCTCTCCCCATTCCTCCTTCTCTCCCTCTCTTCCCCTTTTCCCCTCTCCTTCTCTCCCTCTCTTCCCCTTTTTCCCCTCTCCTTCTCTCCCTCTCTTCCCCTTTTTCCCTTTTCTCTCCCTCTCCCTCTCTTCCCCTCTCCCCCTCCATCTGTCATTTATCCCCCTCCTTCATCAACCTTAATACCTTTTCTCCTTTAGCCTCGTCTTTATCCTCGTCACCTTTTATTCCTGTCCCTCTATCTTTTTCTTTCATCCACATCTTCGTCTATCTCCTCCTTTCCCTCTCTTCCTCTTTTGTCCTTTGCCATTTTTTATCCGTCTTACCTCTCCCTTCCCCTTTATCCATCCGTGTCCCTTATTCCCTCCCTTTTATCCATCCCCTCTCCCCTTATTCCCTTCTCTATCCCTCTTCCCTGTTCTCCCCCCTTGCTTTATCCCTTCCCTTATCCCTAACCCTTATCCCCCTCTCTTTCCCCTTCCACTCATCCCCCCAACTTCTTCCTCTCCTCCCCCTTCCAACCCTTACCCCCCCCTCATCCCACCCAATCCCTCCTTCCCCCTCCCCTATCATCCCCTCCCTCTCTTCCCCCTCTCTCAGCCCTCTCATTCCCCTCTCGACCCCCCCCTTCCAACTCTCTACCCCCCTTTTCTCATCCCACCCAATCCCTCCTTCCCCTTCCCCCTTTCATCCCCCTTCCCTATCCTCTCTCCTTCCCCCCTCTCACACCTCTCATTCCCCTCCCCCCCCCCCTTCCCCCGGGGTTCCCAAGAGGTCATAGGCCAGACACAGATCCCTTCGCATTCCGACGCAGCGAAGGACGTTCTGGTATTTGTAGGGACGAGAATTGCATTATCTTTTTTTAATTCGTTCGGTTAACTTGGTGGTGTTGATGGTGGTGGTGGTATTGTTGTTGGTGGCGGTGGTGGTGACGATGATAGTAGTTGTTTTGTTGGTGGTGGTGGTGGTGGTGACGATGGTGGTAGTGTTGTTGTTGGTGGTGGTGGTGACGATGATTGCGGTGGCATCATTGTTGTTGGTGGTTGTGGCGGTGTTGGTGATGGCGATAGTAGTGGTGGTGGTGATGACGATGGTGGTGGTGGGGGTACTGCTGTTGCTGTTATTTTTTGTCTGGGTGTTAACGTATTCAAACGTTTGAGTGAGAAATATAGAGAAAGGGTGGGAGAAATAGAAAGAGAGGGGGAAGACAGAGGAAGAGAAAGAAGAGAGAGAGAGAGGAAAGGAGGTAGAGAAAGGTAGAGAGAGAGTAAAAGAGAAAGAGGTAGAGAAAGGTAGATAGAGAGTAAAAAAGAGAAAGAGGTAGAGAGGTAGAGAGAGAGTAAAAGAAAAAGAGGTAGAGAAAGGTAGAGAGAGAGAGAGAGAGAGAGAGTAAAAGAGAAAGAGGTGGAGAAAGGTAGGAGAGAGAAGTAAGAAGAGAAAGAGAGAGAGAGAAAAGAGAAGGTAGAGAGAGAAAGAAGAGGAAAGAGGTAGAAAAAGGAAGAGAAAGAGAAAGAGGTATCCAGACAGACAAACAGACTGACAAAGACAGAGAAGAAAAAAGAAAAAAAGAAAAACAAAAACGAAAACAAATAAATAAATAAATAAATAGTTGCAAAGTAATAATGGGATATTGTTGTGCAGAGATGACCAGGGTTGAGCCCAAGTACTGTGATAGTGGTTGTTGCTGCCAAATGCGCCGCGACAAATAACACATGCTACACCTGCTTTAGAAAACGTGTGTTGTGGAGCCTTGCCAGAACTGGTGTCGGGTGGCTGTGGGGTGTACTTGTTGGTGCTGTTTGTCTGTGTGGGTGTGGGTGGCTGAGGGGAGGTGGGTGGGATGGGGATAAGTGTAGGGAGGTGTGGGGGTGGGGAAGGGGGGAAGGGAGGAGGATGGGTGGGTGTAGGTGTGTGGGTAGGTGGAATGGGTGTGGGGTATGTGCGGGTGGGAGTTGGGGAGAGCTTATCGGAGAAGAATGTTTACTGTGACTGACATCATGTGATATGTATGCCCGTGTACGTGTTTGTGTGTCTAGCATCAATGCATTTTCTCATGGTTTTCCGCGGTGACAGCTTTTCTCGCCGAATACACAACGCGGAGACCCAGCAGTTGACTAAGTTTCCTCGCGAAGTTTCGCGCGAGAAGTGCAAGTGACAAAAAGGGAAAAATCGCCAAAGACTGCGTGTTGGCCAGCAGACGACCGGCGAGGCCCGTGCCATCCCGACGCCCAATCAACAGCCGCTCTCGCATGCAACATTGCCACGGCATCATAACCGATGAGATGGCCGGGGGCGGCGTCCCCTTCCCTCGCCCCGCCCTCCCCCCCGACGCCGACGCCCTTCGAGTCCTCCGAGCGCCGCCCCGCACACGCCGACGCCGCCCCACTGACGGCCTCGGGCCCGCCGCTCCTCTGCTCCGCTCTCCCCGCTCTTCCCGCCGTCGCCGCCGCCGCAGTCGCCGCAGCAGCCGCCGCCACGCCCTAGCGATGCTGTGCTTAAAGCAGATGGGCGACACGGCCGCGAGCCCTCCAGGAGACGACCTGCGGCTCGCGCGCGGGGACAGCGCCAGCGACGAGGGAGAGGTCGACGGGGCCGATGGGGGCGAGCCCGCGGCGGGGGGCGGCGGCAGGCGGCACAACAACACGCTCGCAAGGGCGCTGTGCGGCCTGCTGGCCAGCTTGGCCGACAGACTCAAGTGCGGACGCCAGAACAGGAAGAGACAGGTGAGGGGAGAGAAGGGAGGAAGATGGGGAGGGAAAAGGAAGAGAGGGAGGAGGAGGGGGGAAGGGGGTTATGAGAAGGGAGACGGGAGGGGCAAGGGAGAGGGAAAGGGAAGAGAGGGAGGGGAAGGGGAGACAGGGAGAGATAGATGGTTAGATGGTGAGGGAAAAGGTGGGCTGATGGAAAAGAGGGAGACGGTTGATGAGGGAAGCGTTAATGACGAGGAGAAAGAGGAAGGGAGAAGGGAATGATATTGAACAGTAGAAGGGGAAAGGAGGGGGGGAGTGCACCAACTATCACTCTTATTATTATGATTACTATTATTACCGTTATTACCATTTTTGCTATCATTACTATTGTTAAAATTATTACCCTATTTCAGTCATTAATATTAATTATTGTTATTATCATCATTATTATCGTTATTAGCATTATTACTATTATTCCTTGATATTGTTATTATTCTTAATGCTGATATGATTATCAGTGATATTAGCATCCTCTACCACCACCACCTTCTCCTGCTCCTCCTCCTCCCACCCACCTCCCTCCTTTTCCCCCTCCTCTCCTCCACCACTCCACCTCCTTTTCCCCCCTCCTCCTCCCCCTCCTCCTCCTCCTCCCCCTCATTTCCCCTACCACCTCCTCCTCCTCCACCACCTCCACCTTCGCCTCCTCTTCCTCCACTACCATCTCCACCTCCACCTCCACCACACCTCCATCTCCATCTCCATCACCACCACCACCTCCTCCCACCTCTACCTCCCTCCACCTCCACTTATTCTCCCCCTCCTCCTCCTCCCATTCTTTTCCCCTCCACCTCCTCCTACTCCTGCTCCTTCCCCTCTCCTTTTCCCCTCCACCTCTTCATCCCCTCCTCCTCCTCCCCGTCCTTCCCCCTCCACCTCCACCTCCTCCTCGCCCAGGACCTCAAGCGACACTCTACCCCAGCCTCGAGCGACGGAAGGCAGCGACGTATTTTTCTCTACCACGGCAGGTAGAAGGTGAGACGAGCGATAGCCTCATAAGAGAAAAAAAAGGGTTAAGACAACACGTTTAAGGTTTAATGTTAAGGGTTTTGCGCGCCCGTGACGTCACTGTCTTGTTGTCTTAATGGGCGTGTCTTTTCTTATCTTTTCAGGTAAGGGAATGATGCTGGTATGATACCCCCCCCCTTCCCCCTGTGTCTCATCCCACATCCGGGACCTTCTGCGGGGGAAGTAGGTAATGTATGTAAATAATATATGCGTGTTTGTGTCTTATGCTGTATGTGTGTGTGTGTTTGTGTTTGTAGATTTGTGTGTGTTTGTGTGTTAGTGTGTGTGTGTGTGTGTGTGTGTTGTGTGTGTATGCATTTGTTTGTTATGCGTGTATGCATATTTATTCATGTATTTGCTTTTATATATACACACAGATATAGCTATGTGTGTAGGTGTTTGTGTTTACGTGTGCGTATATAAGTAGACAGGTATTTGCGTGTGTAAGTAGACAGGTATGTGCGTACGTAAGTAGACAGGCATGTGTGTATGTAAGTAGACAAGTATGTGAGTGTGTAAGAAGGCAAGTATGTACGTATGGAAGTAGACAGGTATGTGCGCGTGTAAGTAGACAGGTATGTGCGTATGTAAGTAGACAGGTATATTTGAATGTAAGTAGAAAAGTATGTGCGTATATAAGTAGACATGTATGTGCGAATGTAAGTGGAC